CCTTTCTACTTTTCTTTCTATTTTTTTTCTCCATTTTTTTAAATTTATAATTTTTGTTATTTACTTATTCACTTGCCTGGCGAGGGCAAGGGAGGGGACAAACATCTATTATTTTTTTTCTAAATAAAAACAAATATAAACAAGGAAGAAAAAAGAACATCTGAGATAAAGAAAAAAGATGGCTACAACAGTTACATTAAAAAAGGACAGATTAAATTAAAGGCAAACAGACAAACTGAAAACAAGCAACAATTACAAAATGAAACATAGATTGTAGGATATCAAAATAAAAATGATCGTATATAATAATATGAAGGATTCTGTTTTTTTTTTACCCACAAAGGTGCACATTTATGGATCTAGTTATGGTCAGCTGACTCACCTGTGTCGGTCCACGTGTTCTCCAGCACCCAGAATGACCACTGTCCAGTCGGTGGTGGTGAGGAAGTGCAAGTCTCCCGTGTGGTTACTACCGTCATAGATGACCCAGTTGGGACTGGCGCCTGTCCTGTATGGCAGACATGGTACAAGGACATAAATCAACTTTGTGTCAAGACATGATGACTCCACTCGCCCGGGATGGTGGGTCGTCCAACAGGTTAACCCAAAAGTCATGATGCTTATTGTTCTCGGCACGTGATCCGATTAAAAACAATCCATGAGATAAAAGTATACTAAACAGGGTTTGTTTGAATAAAATCAACGACTAAACAGATGTTCGACTAAAATCAACGTAAGTGCACAGATATTAAGAAGAGACCAAACATACAGACACAAACACAAAATCACAACTCCCATACCAGCAAGATTTGTATCTCCATCTATTCAAAATCCTAAATGCTGCACACTTTGTGGTTACTACTAAACGCAAAAGCGCCAGATGATAGAATTGATTTTTTTTTAAAGTTTGTTTCACGACAAGGTCGAATCAGGCGTTTGATAATTTTTGGAGTTATTGATAATATTATGTGTCAAGATACGGTGAAATTATGAGCTTGGAAACTGTAGGGCATAATTATTATGGAGTCACTGATATGATCTTAAGGCCTGTTCACTTGACTTTGATTTGTGTGAAAAATACCCATTTATCTTATTGTAATCAGCATATTATTATTATCATTGGCGAATAAAGTATTATTCTTTTTACCATTGCTCCAGCATTATAACAATAATATCTTCTTGAATTTGAATTTTCACAAAATAAATATCGTGCACATGCAATCAATACCTCAGATTTAACCACATATTTTTTTTTTATGTGATAACTTTTTTTCCTTCAACAATTTGGGCTTCGTACTTCTGAACTGTGCTCTTCTCCGAAGCGGAAAAGTCTGGGTTCGAGCCTCGTTCGGACAAGGATTTTTTCCCCCCTCCTGCCCACCCAGCAGTAATGGGCACGTCCTGACTTCGAGTTGGGAAAGTAAAGGCGACGTGGAAAGGAACTGGCCACCATACCACAATATGCCGAAGACCCAGGAAGTTGTCTCACTAACAAGGCAATCCTCAATGTCCGGATCGGACGCACGAACAACTTTACTTTTACTTCTACTTCTTATCTGCTGGTCGACGATTTCTTTGTAAACGACATGTACAAAGTATGGTGTTAGAGGTAAACATTACAGGAGATGGCCTTCAGAGTTTTGGGAGTTTTCTTTGAAACTCTGCATGTCCTTTTATTGTTTCCCCTTTTTAATCAACGTATTTCAGTAAAATTCATAATATAATAAATTTTAAAAAGTAATGTTTCTTTAAATGTACGTAACTGGTGTTGTGGGGGGGGGGGATGCAAACACACACGTTCTTTCATAATTTACAATGCACACATACATACACTGCACAAGTATTCACACCCAAACCGAGGCACAAAAGTATACAATACAAAATAAAGACAAACCTGTTTAGCTCGTGTAAGAGCAAGGTTTCCAGTCCTGTGTCTACACTTTGGGTGTCTCTGGATTGTCTCAAACGAGGTTCAGAGACGGAAGCCTTGAAGAACAGTTTTGATGTCACCAACAGAAAAGCCAACAGAAAGAAAACAACGACCCACCATCGACGCAACATCGTGAGAATTTCCGTTTTCTTTTTTCTAATTTCCTGAAACCTTTCGTCTTTACTGAAGATCAGATATCTTACCCAACCCTTGAAATACGCATCCATACACAATCTAACATGTTCCAATGTCCACCTGTCCAAAACAATCACCTGTTACAAACAGCAACTTTCAATTTACACCTTGTTTTTAAAAAATATATTCTAGGGAAACTGTTTCAAGATAACCACTTTTCTCCTCGACAATCGGTGATATTTTTGGGCAAGACGTGTGAATGTATCCCTTCTGAGGAACGTAGACGACTAAAGAAGAGTCTTGTCACTGGCTCCAAAACTGTTGCTTCATTTCACTCTTCCTGTCCATGTGTGTTCATTGGTTCATCACTGTTTATGATTTCGTAACGGCTATTTCATAGGTGACTCTCAACCGCGACTTCTGAAATTTTGTTGCTTTTTTGTGGGTGCGTTTGTGTTAATTTGCTCATGCTGTAAGTATTGCTGTTTGTTGTATTTATTGTTGCTGTAGTTAAGGTTATGTGAAAGGGAAAAATACTGTTTCTTAAGTGTCACAACACAGAAAGATCAGAGTTTGCTGTATCATTACGCTAGGAGGAGGCAGATCCATATTTGTCTTTTTTTAACTTTGTGAACTGAAATTTACACTTATGATCATTAACTCACAACATTTTATCATTAGAAACATCTACATACATATTTTCACTTCCTTACACTACTGATGTTTGTGAAAAACACGGGCTAACACAGCAACAGTTAATAATAAATACGAGCAATTGGAGAGTGTTCTGATGTAGTCCGTCTCGCCACTTTTCCTTTTCGTTCCGATATGTTTCTATATTCCTGGCAAATTCCCTTGGAAAATGCGGCTTTCACCAGGAAGCTTCAACTTAGCTGTTTAATGAAGTAGCGAACACACATGTCTGATCCGAAGAGGACAAAATACAATGATGTGGCCCCATTTTGAACCATCAGTCACAAATTATAACATACAGGATTTTGCAAAATTTCAAAGTATGTATGTTACTGTTTGACTTTTTGACTTTTCAGAAAATCTGTACGAAAAATAAAGTCATGATTCCTATTGATTTAGGTATCACAAAACAGTGCGTCTTCAAACGCTGTTGAATGGCCGTGAAAAGTGCGTCCTCAACAAATTACGCCAGCAGCATCCCACAGCTAACGAAGAAAGAGAGAGTGTTTCATTTTGCACAAGCGCGTTGTAGCAAAACTGGCTACGTGCCCCCTGTCTCGCCGGTTTATGGCCCGAGCAGCTGTACAGGTCTCCAACCTCTCTTTCTCTATGTTCCTTCCGCCATGCACAACCCCCTCCCTTTTTCCACAACATTTATTTCTATGTCTGTCTGACTCTCCACCCCTTTCCTCCTCTCCTCCTCTCCTCCTCTCCTTCTCTCTCCCTCTCCCTCCCTCTCTCTCCCCCCCTCTCTCTCTCTCTCTCTCTCCCTCTCTCTCTCTGTTTTGTTATTTTTGTGTTTTTGTTTGTTGTTGTTTTTAGTTTCAACCTGCTAGCTAGTTTGGGCCGAAGTACTTGATTGATTAATGAGCTTTTCTACTACAGATCTGAAGATATGCCCTCGTCAAAGGACCCCTCACCCACCTTTGATGACATAATTATTATTGGCATACTGTTCTAATCTCAAACAGCAACGTTTTCAGGACAAAAAAAACTAAACAACAACAACCGTTTCCATCTTATAGAAAGTGCACCTCAAGTGTTGTATCTTCTTGAATTTGGATTTTGACAAACTACTTATCGCGCCATCATATACTAAGAAACTGCTATAATTTCGTCTATTTTTTTTTTTACTTTGGACTTGGCACATCTGAACTGCTGGCCTGTGATTTCTGAAGGAAACGACATGTCGAACAAAGTTGATAAACTTCTAATTTGGAACAAAGGTTTAAAGTGTTGAGGGATAGGCTATACCAATAGAGGATTAATGAACAGAACATACTTTCTACTCTTTTAATTGGATGGTTGGTAACGCGTGCTCTGGTGTAGTCTGTGCCTTCATTCCTATCGAATGTCGATCGCCATTATCTCTCAGTCCTCATTTCTGTGAATGTTACTCTCTAGTAACACCTGTAATATTTTGCACTTACATTAACATTTTGGGCTGCAAGTGCTCTCCATCCATACGGGCAACGGAAAAAATAGAAACAGGCTTGTTGCCTAGTACATGTAGTAGCTTAGTGCTAGGCGGTACCAGCGAAATTGAGTTTCGATACGTTGCCGGCACTGGGTGTCAGGTAGAGCCAGTACCAGTACTAGCCAGGACTTAGAATAGTAGAAGTCAGAAGCTCTGCGTGTCTAGTGTTTTGACTGCAGCATTTTATCCACCAGTTGCCCACCACCAGCCTATCGCACTAAGCATTGAAGATTTACGAAAAAAAATCTTGGGGGAAAAAGGGGGGTCGGGGTGGGAGGGGGGGGTCATCAAAATCCGCCAAATGCAATCTACGTCAGATGTTGGCGAGACAAGCCTGGACTAAACTTGGGGACAGAAAAGTAAATATCAAAGCTAAAATCAGATTCAATCTTCAGAATCAGCGTAGAAAATTAAGCCGAATTGTTTACGAGGAGCCTGATTTGATGTGATGTCCAAACTTAAACAAACATAATTGTATTTTCAACTGGTGGTTAATTTTAAACTTGCTGTCTTGTATCGAGGTCACCTTGTGCTTAGTACTGTGCATCTGGCGTCATTGAATGTACACACTTCACAGTAACTGGAGCTTTAGTATCAAGGGCACATCAACTGCTGTGTTAAACGCTTGGTATAGGCATCTTCCTAAAGCAGGTATCACCTGGGGTGAGCACCTTGCAGTACCGATGCTGTAGACTATGTGCCGGTACAGACACTGCTATTACGGTGGTACTGCTAGGAGGTCCGATAATGAGTACCGCTACCTGCCCAGCGCTAGCTTGTAGCGTATTCGTTGAGCTTTTCACTTTTACACGCAGAAGGCATATTATAATATTTTATTTTATATGAAATTTATATGTTTTTATTTGTCTTAGAATGCTGCATCCCCCTAGGGCTGTGTTGGAAGCACCTGTCTCCTACATTATCTAGAATGTGCTACTTCGTGGGTAAAGGACAAACTAATGACAATCAAAATAGGTCATGATGCGGTAGAATCATGCATTCGTCAGAGTTTTGGTTAATGAAGTTATTAGTATTTACGTTAAGCCTGTTTGTTTGCCTTGCTTTCGGTGAAAAAAATACCCATGCATATTAAATAGAGTTCGAGTTATTTGTTATTGAAAGTGTTGGGGTCGCCTTGGTGTCCGAGATAAAATTAGCGAGAAAGTTTAAAGATTTTCAATTGTCCTTGAAAACAGTCAGTTTATCATTTTTCAAGCCTTTTCATCAAATATTTTAATACAATACACACGTGCACACGGAAGTATTCTTTTAACGGTTATAAAATGTGTTAAGTCAAAATTTAGAATCCTATAAAAATGTCCCAAATGTCCTTTTCTTCTATTTCTTTTTCTTGACGAGAACCTGATTCTACTGCGGTGTAACACAAATGAAAATAAAATACCAGCAACGTGCTTTTGAAAATACGTTTAATGCGTTAGTGTGGTTTTATTTGTATTGAAGAAAAAGGAAGCAAACCTCGGGATTATAGGAGCAATAATAATATGGTCGTAGTCAAAGGGTGGATGTGCCGGAACCACGCAATCCGTGTTGAGATCACATGTCGTGCCATACGGTGTTGGTTTGTAGGTGGTTGAGAACAATTCGGCCAAGTCCTTGGTTGCGAGCAGTAGTCAAACTCTCTTTTTCCTTTTTCATCTTCCATCTCCTCCTCTTCCTCCTCGTCGTCATAAGCGTCGTCATCGTCGTCAACGTCGTCGTCTTCCTCATTTTCTTTTTCATCCTCCTCTTCCAGCAGCTCTTCTCCCTCCCCCTCTTCCTTCTTTCTGTCTACCTCAAGTTCTACTCCTTCCTCTTTTTCTTCCCCATCTTCTTGCTCCTTCTGCTCTTCCTCAATTCCCTCTTTGCTTTCCCCCACATCCTTAATCTGCCCCAGCTCCAGCAGTTCCCCCCAGAAGTCTATGGCTTCCTTTTCTTCTTTTTCCCACTTTCCTTTATCATCCTCTTTCCTTTCACCTTCATCGTCGTTATTGTTGTCCATGTTAAAATCCATCTTTACTAAATCGTCCAAATTGTCTGCAATCTTATCCATATATGCTTCTTTTTCCAACTCTTTTTTATTGTACCCATCCTGACCCAACTGGGCATTCTTATCATCAGAGGCTTCTTTTTCCTCTCGTTCCCACTCTCCCTTGTCATCTTGTCTTCTTTCAGCGTTTCCTTCGTAAAATTTAGCAGCATTAAAATGAGGTCTTCCCAGAACGTTCAGTAAGTTTACCCTGCGATCCGCATTAAATGTTTCTTTTCCCACCTTTTTCCTATAAGACTTATCCTGATCAGAGTTATCGTTCTGAACATCTGAGGCTTTGTTACCCAAAGTGCTCCAGTAATCACCCAAATGATTCCACTCTTTCGTCTGCTTTTTCGCCTGTTCCTTTAGAGACTCTTCAAACGTTGCTTTCACTTTCCCTGCCCATACCCCCGGCAGCATAATTTCTCTCCTTTCTAATAGATTCATCCAGAGTTCGGAGAAGTCCAGTGGCAGATCGTCAGATTGTAGATTTCTCTTCATGTGATCCAGGAAGTAACCAATCGGCGTAATATTGTCACATTCAAGATTCTCACACAACTTGTCCTCTAGGGCACTGAGTTCGTATTTTAAAAAAGATTAATATTCATAAAAGAAATAACATCACAGTAAAAGTAATAATAATAAAAACAATAATAATGATGATAATAACAATACTAATATTAATAGTAATAATATGACAATGATGATAATAACAAAAGCAATAATAATAATGTAACAATGACATTAATAATACCAGTAGGCCTACTAATAACAATATTACAATAATAATTATAATCCATCAGTAAATGTCGGACAGTTACCAATGTATCTGTAGAGTACCATAGTTATGCCTTATGCTAAAATAGAAGAAGTAAATGTTAAGATGAGTTGTGGCTTTTGTTATAGAAAAGAATATTTTCCCACATTTTGAAAATTTTGATGCGTCTTTCTTCTTTTGGATATACACATTTGTGAGTTTCTCTCTTTGCTTTAGCATTTAATTTTCTATTGTGAACAATCATCTGTTACTTCAATTTTTCAACAAGTCTCTCGGGAGCTAGGCTCTCCCATGTTGACAAATGTGTCTTAACGTTCCCCAAAGACATTTTCATCGTGTCTCTGTAGAGTTAAAGAACAGAAATAGCTGCCGTAGAATTACCAAGTTCTATCTGCTCAGTACCTAGTTTTGAGAAATTTGACGTCAAAGATTTTGAGTTTCACATCACATCAAGTTTTTTTTCGAATGCAGTTCTTTGAATATATAGATAACGGCTCCGAATATTCATACGATTCTGATACAGCAAATAGTGAAGGTGGCTTCATAGGTCTTAGTAACTCAAAACCGCCTAAAAAGTAGATAGAGTTTGCAATTCTGAGGTAGCTAAAGGGTTGTCCCCCAATTAACCAAACTTATGTGGCTCTTTTTGCGTTCCAACTTTGACAAGTGGTTTCGTTTTTTAACTATACCAGTATTTGAAACGTTACTAGCAAAAAATCATAGGTTCTCTACTGAGAGAATAATAAATATTTGTGTAGCGTCATGGTGAAACTATGCTTTTGTCAAAAAAGGAAATCCAAGAAACCGATTTTTTTTTTCGCCTTTTATGAAAATATTATCGAACTTTATTCTCTTTATTTATCTTGTTGGGTTGGTTTTTTTTGCTCAATACTTTAAATGTCCATATTAATGTAAATTTATCAGTGGATTTTACTGGAAAAACGTTGATCAATAGAAGAAAAAATCACATTTGCAGTTTCCAAAGACTCTCAAACGTTGAAAGTCAACCAAACTTTCATTTCCGTTTTCTCGCTATCTTTTCTTTTGAAACCAGGCGACCCCACCTCCTTCAGTTGCAAGTATCTCGACTTCTACTAGAGATAAATTAGTAATTTCTTTCATCCCCCTGAGTATGCAACATCTTGGGTCGCTGTAAAAAAAAAAATCCTCTCTCGTAATGTCTCGTGACACAGGGTAAAGAGATTTTTGTCGAATTACTTTATGTCAAGCGAAACTACGTTGTAGTAATTTACCACGCTTGACAAATCCAGGGTTCCGGCGACACTTCCTTCCCCTTTAGA